ATTTAGATGTATATACTATTGTAAATGCTATCTTGCTTTGCATGTAATGAGTCTTATCTCATATATTAGTTTCACCTTTTAAGTTGCATTACTGAAATAAATGAACTTTTGCAGAATATTCTAATTTTTCGAGTTTCACCTATATATCAGACAAATTTGACAATAGCAACCTAATGTACATTGCATGAACTGAAAATACAAACAAACTTCAATGTATTATATTTCAACAGCCTGATGACATATGTCCCTAAAATAGTTGAGTTTTTAAAATGTCATCTCATATATATTCAAGTCCCTTTTTTGTGAATCATATTCTACCTTACACAGTGCAAAGAAATGCTCCCTTACAAACCACCCTGAAATGTTGTGCACAGCTTAAATGGTACTATCAAAAATGGCCTATATGGAACTCCCTTTATATGAAGTTGTAAGAATATTCTATTTGAGATCAACCTGTTTCTGTACAAATTGATAAAGTAGATATTCCATATACTTGCAAAAACTTGCTGAGCTTGTCAGAGAAGGCAATAAATCTAATCTTAACAAAACCTCTTTTGTTCTAACAGATGGCTTACAATCTGAGTTACTGTATAAAAAAGGAGGGGACGGTAAATCAGGCATAGTGATGGATCAGTTACTCTTTAAATTCTCACTGTAAATCATGGAAAGCTAGCCAAATGTACATTCCATCTGCAGCGATAGCATTTACAATAGTATATACATCTAAATGTAGATACATGAAATTACCCATGCAGAGATATATAACTTTGAAAGCATTTCATTGCATTCTTTAGTTATTCATTAAAACTCACCAATCTTCCACAAACACACTTCAAAGAGCCACACACTGTACAATTAAGACTTCTAGGATTCATCTAAAACTACATTCCTTAAGCTCTGTACATGCATATGTACAAAAAGGGAAAGAAAATTTCACCTGGTAGTTCTATTAACTCATCGGTCAAAATAATTATGCACATAGATCTATTTACACAAAAGCTGATGTGTGTGGACTGTAATCATGGTATTTATACTGCTGAATATTCTCAATGTATAATTAAGAAACAATCAAACCCAATACTATTGAGTGATTAGACTGTATAAAGACATTATCCATCACAGCTTTGCCAATTCATAAAGCTGTTTAAATCATAGAAATACTGTCATTTAAATATCAAGGTGGGTATATCTCCCCAAAATTCCTTTTAGCCAATCCAAGGGTGTTTTCAGGCTGCCTGTCAATCCATGCTCATACTTAGATGCTTCTGCAGTGAGTTGCCACAACACTTTGACAAGTAGCTCTTGTGGTACTGAAAGATATGGAGCATCTAAAGAAAATGATGTGTGCAGCCTTATTATCAATACACTTCCCTTTGGTTTACTGACTTACATAATTCTTATCTTTCTATAGTTAACTATGTTGAGTTCATATAAGGAGCTACAGTTTGCTGTTAAAACTTGGGAGGCAATTAAAAACTGCTCATGAGCCTTAATAGCAAAACTCAGATTCAATAAGGAATTTTAAAAAGTTTAGCAACAGGAAGCCCTTTAATCTCAGAAAAGGAGCCATCCACAGAGAAAGACAAAAAAAGTCAAGATAGTGAGTATAATTGCATGACTGAAGGCCCACTCATTTGTACATGCATTTATAGACTTTATGTATATATGCAAAGGAAAGGGCTTTGACAATCAGTTTGTGACTACCATCATAACATCTTTGCTTTATCACATTGGCTCTGTTGTCTATAGAGTTTTTCAACTCTACTCTAGATACAAGTTTATTTAGGTTTGATTATATTAAATCACAACAAATTGTTCTTTGTTGAGAACAATTGAGAATTCTTCAAGCGGGATTAAATCATTTAACTTTATGCTTTTATGAAAAATCCGATTAAAATAAATAGCATGTCTTTCATCAATTTGGGCAAGTGGGAACATTTGGGCAAGTGGGAACATTTGGGCTTTTGAGTGGGTCACATACATCAGTGATGGGATTCAACCAGTTCGCTCCACTTCGGGAGAACGGGTTGTTAACATTCTGAGCAGTTTGGTGAACTGGCTGTTGGAAGAAATCATTAGGGCAGAGAACCGGTTGTTAAGTTATTTGAATCCCACCACTGACATACATCCAATGTTTGTCGTGGTTGCAAAATACTTTTTCCCAGAAGCAAAAAAGTACTGGACTTTGAGGTCTGTTTTATTCTAAGATATTGTTGGAAAGAAAAGATTTTATTCTTGAAAGTACTGTATTTTTCAGAATATAAGGCACACCTTTTTCCCTCAAAAAAGAGGCTGAAAATCTGGGTGTGTCTTATACACTGAATGCAGCATTTTTCTCCCTCCCAAAATCCCATCCTCTTCACCAAAATGGCTATGCATAGCTTTTAGGAACCTTGCAGAGTGCTCCTGGGGTCTGGGGAGGACAGAAATGAGCGGAAAATGGGCCATTTTTTTGCTCATTTTTCCTGCAGCCCCCAGGAGCACTCTATAAGCCTCCTAAAGACTATACATGCCCTCTTTTTGTGTCAAAAATGGGCCTGTTTTCACGAAAAATGGGACATTTTGGAAAGTCTGCAGTGTGCAAAAACTTTTTTTAAAATTTGCCTCTTCAAAATCTTGGTGCATCTTATACTTCGGTGCATCTTATACTCCGATAGATACAGTAGTGCTTTAATGTGCACTAAGTTCCCAGTGATTTTCCACAAATTAAAAGAATCTTAAGAAAATTAGGGGAAGGAAGCTTGGGAGGTACCAACAAATACTCCATTAAGCATATTGTCACTCTGGGGTACTTTGTGACTCTGGCTTTATTTAACCATGAAATTGACAAAGTTTTCAAAAGTATTTGGAGATCAGCAAATTAATTAAATGGAATCTGAATTATAACTAGATTTTATCACAAGTAAAACCAACTATTACCATAAAACCTTCTATTAATCAACTCAGTGGGGATAGCTCCAAACTATAATATATCCAGTAGAAATACTAGAAATATAAAATGGTAATAATAGTCATAAGAAGTACTGAAAAACAATCTCACATTACTAAAGTTATAACAAGCTCTGCAAAATAAGGATAAATCATTGTTATAATTTTAAAAGAAAGTTTTATTTTTACATTTCAATAATTAAAGCAGAGACTTTTAGTGATTAAGGTAACAGGCTAGAAACCAGGAGACCATGAGTTCGAGTTTCACTTTCAGCATAAAGCTCACTAGGTGATGGATGGCATATAAATGTAACTAACAAATAAAATAGATTGTTATATCTCTCCAATTAATGACTGCAGAATAACTGATACATTTTCACTATCAAAAATAATTTTTTTCAGAAGTTGGTTTTAATATGACAGCAATCAATCTCTTTCTCTCCTCCCTCCCTTCCCCTCCCTCTTTCTCTTCTTCTTACCTTTGTGGAGAGCACATGTTATGGATAAGGTCCAATATATCCACAAGAAATGTTTAAACATTTTGACCTAAAAAATAGAACAGAAAATAATCACAATGTATATTTTCATAATCTTGTAAAACAATCACGGTAAATATCTTGATAATGGTTAAAGCACCAGGCTTAAAAAAAAACCTAGGAGACTGGGAGTTCTAATTCTGCTTTACACATGGAAGACAGCTAGATGATATTGACTCATCATTTTTTGTCCTCCCAACACACTTCATAGATTTATAAAAAATAAAAATAAAAATTCCTTTTCATTTCCTTGTCTACATTTCACACCAACTGTTACTGTCTAATGGATAATAAAGTATGACCTTTTTTAGCAAAATGAATGTCTTGATTTGTCCCTTAATTATGACCCATAATATGAAATATCTCAACATTTTAGAAGCTGGCAACATTTATACAAAAATGAGAATAACAAAATTAGCTTAAGGCCTCAATTGGTCTCTAGACATGTATATGGAGGGCTGGACGACATCATCCAGGAGAAAAGTTCAAGAGGTTGGACTATTCTCAGCTCAGAAAAGCCTTTCTCATGCCATCTCTTTGCTTATCTCTTCCATGTTCCGTACTAAGAAAAGCAGGTCCTTATTCAGGAAGTAGAAAGCAATGAGTATGTGTTGGAGAGAAATTGATAAACTAATTGCCAGGATTGTTATATTTCTTAGTTGTTATATTTCTTAGTCTTAAAACATTGGATTCTCTCTGTGTGCAAAAAAAAAAAAAAAAAGATTTGAGAAAGAAGAGTTGTTGAGGCCTAGGAAAATGGAAAATAAGTTGGCAGGCCAAAATTAAATCTGTGTATCTTTAATGGTGAGCTGAAGATTTGTCAAAGTCCCTCAGTATAGCAGGAATCTTAATGACCAGATTTATATACATATACATATACATATACATATATATACTGTACATATACATACACACACAGACATATGTATTCACAGATGTGTGTACATACACACGTATGTGATTAGGCAATCTGAGACATGTGGGGTTTTTTTCAAAACCACATTTTAACTTGCGTTTATCCATTATGACAGAAGTGCCATAGAAGTTTGCTGGAAATGTTTTGAGCATAAAGGGACTACATATAAGCATGTTTCAAAATCTACTCTATAACAAAAATCTGGACTTCATTCCCCTCTGGAAAAATGATTCACAAACAAATGTAACAACCCAAATTAGGCCTTTTTGAGGTGACTGGAAATTATAACTGTCCCATACCACCTCCATTTAAAGAACCCAGAATATGACTTAATCTATTCAAGTCAATGGGATTTCATAATTGACTTCAACATGGCATGGCAACTATATTTACTTTTTTTCATCATTTGTTAAAAAAAAAAGAATAAATTATAGAAATACTGAACAAGCTGCCAAACCATATTTGGATAAAATTGTGCTGACACATTTATATATGACTAAGTTCCTTTCCCTTAAGAATCCTGAAGCTCAACATCAAAGCTCAGTTTCAAAATATTTTTCAGTGCAGTCACACGCCAGATATACTTGATATGGGCAGTTACTCATGCTGACTAGTCAACTGCCGTTGGGAATCATTGGAATGATCAACTAAATATAACTTAATTATTAATGAGCTTTTGTCAATTAATGAATTAATCTATAATTAAGGTTCCATACATTTCCATCATGATAAATATAATATTAAAGAAGCATACTTATTTTTGCTCTAAGCTCTTTCCAGCAAGCATAATTTTAAGAGAGACTCAAGGATGAAAGGATCTAAGTCTCTTTTAAGATGCTGTTTGGTATCTACCATTCTTATATTATCATTTTTAGGTTTTTAAAAATATATAAGTTGTCTTATTAATTAGTGGCATATATTTGGAAATTTAAAAGATTATAATCATCTAAATATGTAACCAGCAATCATACACTTGATTCTTCTGTGGGACTATCAACCCAACTTTGTGGCTTGATGGCCCCACAAAGGATTTTTCAATAAAAATCCAAGGAAATTATACGCCACTTAGTTGAATGGATGTTTCAGGTAATTATGAGCATATATGACCGTGGTGGGAAATCTATGGCATGCATGCCAGAGGTGGCACACAGAGTCCTCTCAATGGGCATGCACACCGTTGCCAGCTGCTCTTCTGGTTTCCAGTGTGCATGGTTTCCAGCTGGTCTTTGGGGAAGCCGGAACACAGGAAAGTGGCCTGAAAAAAGGTAAAAATGGGCAAAAAATAGGCTGTTTTAAGGGCCGTTTTCAGCCCATTTTTGGTCCAAAAATGGCCCCAAAAGTGCCTGAAAACATCCTGAAAATTGTCTGAAAACAAGCAAAAAACAGGGACACACATGCCAGCCAACTGGTCTTCAGTTTTCCAGTGCTCCGACGCATGCACACACACACATGCACAGACATTCCAGTTTGGGCACTCGGTGCCAAAAAGTTTCCCCATCACTGATATAGGCCAAGTCAGTGAAAAAAGCTAAATCCACACTAAGAATAGAAAGGGAATAGGAAATACCATTGCTTATAGAAAGGACTCAAAATTCTAGTGAATAATATACAGTTTGGAAATGGCAAAAAAGGCTTACAAAAATATTCAGTGGGTTCTGTAAGAAAAGATTGCAATATGGGGACAAGCTGCCTTAGGGTGTGGGGAAGGCAAACAAAGGGAATTGCAGGTAGTTGCATTGTTTTTTGGGGGGTGCACTGAGGGAGCTCAACCAATTTCATTGTACATATGTTGTGCACTGACAATAAAGAATTATTATTATACTGTAGCTTTAAAACTTAAATCAGTTGGCTATTTTTTCTGCTCATTTCATTCTCCTATAAATTAACCCTTGCTATCTTCATAAAATTATAATGCTGGGAAAGGTGAAAGGGAACAAAAGGGGACAAGCACTAAGGTGGACAGACTCAATTACAGCAGTGATGGATAAACTGCATTAAGAGTTGAAGGGCCAGGTTGGGATCAGATCATTCTGGAGAAAATCTATCTATGTCAGGGTGTCAAACTGACAGCCCGCAGGCCAGATGCATCACGGGCAGGTCACGCCCACCCCAGTTCTGCGAAGGGGAAAATGTTCTAAAACATGATGGCAATGTGACAACGTGAGTTTGTGATCTATGTGGTCACTAAGAACTGACACCAACTTGATGGCACATAATCATGAATCAACCCACTGCCCTGGGTTCATATAATCACCATTTATAACCCTCCTAAGCAGCTTCTGACAAGCAAAGTCAATGGGGGAAGCCCAGATTTACTTAATAACCCCATGATTTATTAAATTGCAGTGATTAAATTAACAACAGTGGCAAAAAAGGTCCTAAAATCGGCCAAAATTCACATAACCTATGCCTTGCTTAGCAATGAAATTTTGGACTGAGCTGTGGCTATAGTCAAGAACTACCTGTATAAAATCTACCTATATAGATTTTATAACTTCAGAAATTTAATTATGAATTTAGGAAATGCTGTAACTTCTTGAAGACTGAATTATTTCTGTATTATGTTCAAAACACAAAGCAAAGTTCTCTCTTGATTATCAATTTTTTGTATGATGTTACCATGACAAAATTTCTGGATCTGAAATTTCTACCTAAAAGTAGAAAAGTAAATGGAATGGACCTACCCTGGTTTGCCACTTTATAAAGCATATAAACCCTAACAGATTCTTTAGGCAGAGATAAGATCAGCTAAGAAAGCTAGAACTCTGCTCAAAGCTAATTTAGTCCAATTACTACATTCTTGCCAAAAATATGTCAGATTTTCAACACTTCAGAATTGCCCAGTATTTTCTTATTCCACACCATTGCTCTCAGCAAGAACACAAATAGTTAAATGTCCCCAACGGGATTGGGGAAAGTATCCTCAAACTGAAGCTTTTATAATTAATTTCACATTAAGTATTCATCCTTAGAATTCTACTGCTTTAAGGTAAATATGAGAATCAATGAAGGAAATTATTATATATGCTATATTTTATGATGGAGTCATAGTATTTACAGTTTAAATCAGTGATGGCGAACCTATGACACGCGTGTCAGTGCTGACACACGCGTGTCA